GCCGAGGTTTCTGCTCTTGTTGAGGCCCCAGTGGATCACGATTATTGCTGAGGTAAAGCACTGATATTGCACAAACTTTATTAAATGCTGAAATGAGAAAACTATAAGTAACTTTGTGTTTTTGTTTCAGTGACATGGCCGGTGTTGCGTCTGCATGCTGTGAAAGCCCAGCCCACAGACAAAAGAGGACAACTGAAACCTTAACATTCAAGAAGTGTCTCTCTGATGCCTGCTGTGTTGACGTTCATTTGTTGTTGTAGTTCATTTGTAGTCATCACTGCAATAACTTTAAAAGTAGTTGGCAGTGTAGTTTTTTTTTGTCTTGTCATTTTTTCTAACTTGTTATTCTCACAAAAATGCACATAATTGTGAGGCATGTTCTGTTAAAATACATTGTAGATTACAGCTAATTTACGAGAGAGAAATAGGCAAATGTGGAGTATTGATGAAAAGATTTGCAAAAAGTGAGTTTTGTCAAAACATAATGAATTAATGCGTTGTCAATGTGTCATTTGAATGAACTGTCTGAAATGTAACCACAAAATAAATTCTTGAAGCATCTTTTGAGCAGTAGCAACAAAAACAGACTTTGAGCATAAATGCTTTAAATTTTTGAGATTTTCCCTATTAAATGTGACTTACAGTAATCCTTATTTCGATATGATGGGTCATATATTTGATACAATCACATTAGCTGTTCATAACAGTCTGTCTTGTCTATAATATGATTTATGGCTAGACAATCAAAGTCCCTGCAATGACAGTTCGTCTTTGTGTGTTTGAAAGCTTTACATGCGCACTATGTAGGAATGTGATTCAAAAAAATACAGTTACAATTTCATGAAATATATTAGTGTTTGGCCGAAGCCCTCAGACAGATTTTAATGTTTGGAAAACCTTTGGGTAGCCTCTTGAGATAAGTACATAAACTGAAACAGACTAGTGCTTCCTATATTACAAATCTGCTAATTATTCTAATGAAATAGAACTTTCTGCAGTTTTTGGGGAGATCACCTCCTAAGAAATGTCAGTACAGAAACTACTTGTGCTCATTTTCAATCAATACTTTTACTTTTAATAATTTATTCCTATAGGATTTTGAAATGCGGACAGAACTGTGTTATAAACAAATACACAGAAGTTTTAAAGACAAATGTTTATTTAAAAGAACAGTGAATAACTGCAAACCGAAAAATATAATAAAAAACAAAACTCAAAAAACTGTCCAAGTCTTGCGGACAGAACTGTGTTTCAAAAAATACACAACATTTTTAAAGAAAAGTGTTTCTTCTAAAGAAAGATGAATCACTGAAAACCAAAATTAAAAAACAAATAAAAACACCAAAAAACTGTCCAATTGCTCAACGATGGTTTCTGGCCCAATACCTCATCC